AATGCATGTGTTGCCTTTATTGCCAGAGTGTGTGTGTGTGTGTGTGTGTGTGTGTGTGTGTGTGTCTTCATTGCAAGTGCTAAGAGGTCCCTCCCTTGTAGGCAGGAGGTGCTTTATATACAGGCTTACAGCACAGTGGAAAAACCTCAGGTAGAAGAGAGCGTGTTTTCCTCATGCTGAATGTTGATGTCAGAGGGTCAAGGCCGGGGCAGTAAGCCAGGACTAGAAAACAGGAAGCACTTGGACTGGAAAACAAGTTGCACTGGTAGGCTGACCAGCAACTCACAGAGACACCATGGGGCTGGGGCCCAACATAAAACCAAGAAGTGGTCATCATATTGACATTGCCTTGCTAACGTAATGTAATTTCCTTCCCCCTTAAGTTGACCTCGTGAGATATCTATACCTTTAACTTTAGTAAATTGTTCAATTTCTTAGCCTCTTCTCTGAACCAGGAAACCCGTTGTAATTGTGTTCCAGGCTCTAGAACAGCTTTAGTCAAATCTACCCAGTCTATAAGGATCACTCTATTACAAACTAACCACGTGTTTATCATTGTTTCACAAATGGTGAATGGATGGATGCCATTCGAGACTACAGCTTCCTTGAATTTCCCTAAATCTAACATTGTCACAAGTTTCCAAGTAGGTCTTATAGAACCTATACCATTTGGCACTTCATGTAAGGTTCCTGGATATATTAAAGATGATTCTCTTACGTCCTTAGATTCCCTATTAGCCTTAAAATGAAATGTTGAATTTAATTCCCCATTAAATTCCTTTGACTGGGTCTGAATATTTCTATCACCTGTTTTAGTAAGTTTTTCTAAGGTTGACATCTTGGCACTCATATCATCCAACTTTTTTAGAGGTAAACTAGGAATTATCAAAATGATAATTAACAGTATGCCAATCCCAGTTAAGTTGATTATACCTTCATATTTAATTGTTCAATTTTTAATTCATTCATTGAACAATCATACAGAGACCAATTCTCTCCATTGCAATTGTGTTTCCCATTTTGATTGTGGGAAAAACTCTCTTTTAAACTAATTCCTTCCTTTGAGAATTCCCAAAAGTCTTATCAAATCTGCCAACACTGTCAGTGAACTGTGAAACAAGGCACAATTGATTCATCATCTAACAAGTAGCTGTGAGCTCAGTGTCACTCCAAGGAGAGGGGCTGTAGGGAAAGTCTGCCACAACAGGAAAATCCCAATTTTTTTTAAAAGATTTGGGGTGAAAACAATGGAAAACCTAATTAGTTTGGCAGGGACTCCAGTAGGAGCCTGCCTGCAACTCAGGCCTGGGCCTGGGCCAGTAGCTTCAAAGTGACTTTTTCATGAATTTGTACTTTTACATTGGATGCCAATTTGAAGCATGAATAATAAAAGACCCAGAGACAGATATTTTGGCTCAAGCTTCAAGCGGAAAATCAGAGAAGCAAAGCAGCCAAGCCATTAGCTCTTACCTCTACCTCAGACAAAAAGGGTGAGTCACTGAACCTCAGATTCCATCTCTAGACTGCTATGATCTCCTCAACACAGCTGGAGACAAATTCTTCTTTTTATACCTATCAGATTCTGAGATTAAAGGCATGTGATCCTAAGTGCTGAGATCACCTTCATGTGAGCTGTTTCTCTTTATGACTGGATCAATTTCATGTAGTCCAGGGTGGACTGGAAATAACAGAGATCCATCTGCTTGTCTCTTGAGTCCTGTGATTAAAGGTGTGTATGACCACCTCCTGGCCCTATGGCTACCTAGTACGGCTGCTGGGATTAAAGGTGTGTATCACCACTGCCTGACTCCTAAAGCTTGTGGCTGGCTTTGCTTTCTGTATCCTCAGGCAAGCTTTAATAAATAATAAATAATATATCAAAAGTATAAATTGTACAATAAAAAAAGCTTTTACAAAGTCACTTCATCGAGAAGCTGATCCTCCTGTGTCCGCAAAGGCAAAAAATTATGCTAGAGTGACCTTGTTTCTTCCACGGACACATGTGAACCAAACAGCAACACAACAGGTTTGTGGAGATATTTTGCTTGTACAAATAAAGCCTGTCTAAAGATCAGAAAACGGAGCTTGCCATTGGCTAGCCATAGAGTCTGGAGGCTTGTACAGACAGACAACAAGTGAGATACCTGTGGCAGACAGTAGGTGAGATGACTGGGTGGAGAGAGGATACAAGAAGGGAGAAACAGGAACTCACTCTTGTCTGCTGAGATGCTAAGAAGGTAAGATGTGACTGTGGCTTGCTCCATTTTCTCTCTGTTCTCTCAGCATTTTCCTCTATATCTTACTTGACCTTTTTATTACACAGACCAATTAAGAATTCCCTTTTACACAAGTTACCACCAAAGGCAGTGCGGATGCCAGGGAAGTGGGCCAACACCTGAGGCCATGTTAGTACCTGAAGAGCATTCTGCCTCCATGGCCATATAGATGGGGTGGCCTGGGCTGCCACCTGGGGCCATAGTGATGTCTAGGTACATGGCCCTACTACAGCCAGGAGCTGTACTGATATCCATGGCACTTGTTGCCATCAAAGTCCTTGTGACTGCCTGGAGTCTGGGCCACCACCTACAGCCATGCAGTAGTTTGGTGACCACAATGCTGTTGGGCCCATGCCAACCTGAGAGGCCTGTGCTGCCACCCTTGGCTATGGTGACATCTAGGCTCAAGGTACTGCTGCTAGCCATGTCTGAATATGTGGTCCTGCCACAGCAGGGTCTGTGTTGATGTCTGTTGCCCATGTTACCACAGGGGCCCTTGCAAACCATGTGATGAACTCTGCATTGAATCTTGTTGAAGTATAAAGGCTGTGATGAGCTAGCCCTACCTCTCAATGGCCTGGCCTGGGGAAAGCTGCCCTTCCCACTTGAGAGTTGACCCTGCCTCTCACTTGCTCTGAGATAACTGATGACCTGATGACCCTGCACTGCCCCTAAGAGGAGAGCTGCCTCCACACACTTGGGAAAGCTGCCCTCACCCCTCCACACCATTGTGGGAAAGCTGACTCTGCCTATGAGAGGCAGCACTTGGTCAGACCAACTCAGCTACCCCCCCTACACATTTAGGGCTTTACGTTGGCCCTCCCCAGCATCTACCCTATTTATGATCTGCCAGAGCACTTGAAGGGACTGGTCCTGCAGAACCATGACCAAGGGATCTCCATGGCTTGGGGTAACAGCAAGATATCCAAGGATTGTCAGTGAATGTCCAGGATTTTCGTTATACTAGAACGCAGAGGCCTTGAACCTGACCAACAACACATTACACAATGAATATTTGCATGCAAAGATGTTTGAACAAAAGTGTATACTGCACAATACACAGCAGCTCCCAATGCTGCTAAGAAGAATGAAGAAGAGACAGAGAGGCAGGAATCATGGAGGGTCAAACTGGGTTGGTTTGTTAATTTTTTTCTTTTTGACTTTTTATTTTATTTTGTTTTGGTCTAGTTTTCTGTTTGGTTTGTTTTTATCTTATTTCATTTCTTTTCTAGTTTTCCTTTGTGGGGGACACTATTAGGATGTAGATGAATATGGAAGCACTGGGAAATGAGTGGGATTAGGGTGCATGATGCGAAATTCCCAAAGAATCAATACAAATATGTTAAAAATAATATCTTTGAGCTGGAGAGATTGCTCAGGGGTTAGAAGCACCCACTGTCATTACAGAGGACCCAGGTTCAATTCCCAGCACACACACATAACAGTTCACAGCTATCTGTAAACTCCAGTTGCAGGCGATCTGACACCCACACACACACATGCAGGCAATGCATCAATGTACATAAAACAACACTAAATAATAATAACATCTTAAAAGGGCAATGGTAGTGCATGCCTTTAATCCCAGCACTCGAGGATCAGAGGCAGGTGGATCTCTGTGAGTTCAAGTTCAGCCTGGTGTACAGAGCTAGTTCCAGGACAGCTAAGGTTATTAGACAGTAAATCCCTGTATCAACCCCCCAAAATAATAATAGTCTTTTGAAGTTGATTCAGTTACAGTTGGAATGACATAGTTATCCAGTGATCCAAAGAAATTTCAGGGAAGTAAAGACAGTGAGAAATGTGATGGTAAATTAAAGCCAGGGTTATATGTGGAAGACTGCTAGTTAAGGACACGAATTTCTAGTCAAATCATGAATAATATGCCTTGGGAAAACATACCGCAACTTTGCAGAGATAATGGATCTCTGAACTATCACTGGCCTTAAGATGCAATTCTGTGTACATTATTTAGACACTTCTCCCTTGGGTCAGCAATGTCATGATCATGAAAAAGGCTCTAGGGTTTTATGTGATCCATGTCTGTCAATGAACTACAGCAATCCCATACAATGAGAATTGATATTTCACACATATGGGAATGTTTTGTTTAAATGAGTTCATAATGGGATGTGGAAGAATTTAAATCATAGCAACTAAAACTACAGCAAAGCACTACTAGAACCCAGCGAATTTATTTACTAGTCTTCAACTTTCAGTGTAGCCCGTAGTATCTACTAAGAACTATTATAAATGCTGGAAGTTAGAAAATGACTCACCTAACACACTATTCTTATGGAGATGAAATGCTACCGTAGGAGGAGGATCCACAGATAAACACTGTTTGACAAATATAGTAGCTGGTAGGAAATGAAAGACGTTGTAGAAAAATAAACATTGGAAATGCATAAGGACACTCAGACTAGAAGACAAGCTGTAATGCTAAGTCATACCCGGTCACATTCGCCTGCTCACTCCCAGAATCTTGAGTTAAATGCTTTGCTTCTCCATGCTGCTTAATGGCCCACAAGGCCACTGGCAGCACAGAATCTGCTCCTGCCTGTGGAAAAGGAAGAATTTACTCCAAAGGTAGGGCTGTTTCTTTGCTAACATCACATTCCAATGGGACACGTTTTTGAATTAACATGGTACCTTCCTAAAATAATTTCGTGTTGCTAATGAAATTACCAGGATGTTCGAAAGAAGAGTCATAGTTCATATATCTTTGGTTTCCATGCTCATATTACTTTATTAAACCAGAACATTGGAAATGAGAACTGATTACAAGGCTTAGTCAACACACGTTTCCACTGGGATCATTGATACTGCTCTCCAAGAACAGTGTGGCTGAATGCTGTCCACGGCGACCACATTCACAATGTCATAGAGCCCTGGTGTATACTCAGTAGGCTTCTGGAGAGAATCCAAGGTGAAATAGATGTTGGATTCCACCACACCAGTTCTACCTTCAATGCTGGTCACACAGACCTATGAAGGGAAATGAAGGCAATGAGTATGGAGAAACACAACCCACCACAGAGGGCCCCCAACAACCCTTTGGCTGTAATCAGCAGGTCCCTCGCCCCATCACTGATTCTCATTCGTGACACGGGGGAAGTGTGTCAACACATCCGAGTCTCCATTTTACCCCTCTCCCATTAAAGCAGAGAAAAAAGACAAGCCCTGGGTGACTGATAAGAGGATGTACTTACATGCTCTTCAATATGGCCACACACTCTCCCTCCTGTGTGATGAGAGGATGTACCCTTCCTGCTACCCAATATGGCCACACACTCTCCCTCCCTGACTTTACATCTCATTCTCAGGCTGTACTAACCAAGGTCTTACTCCCCCCTTCCCCCATCAGCAGGCTGAACACCCCAAATCCAGGGCACTCAAAGTTTCCCCACAATTGCCTCACAGCCACGATACTTTGTGACTGTCGTCCACAGAACATCCTAACTTCAAGTAAAGCACACAACCTAGGAATTAAGTATGTGTGTATTCTACTTTATTTTCTGCCAGTTTCCTTTTCAATCAGTGAATGTGCCCACTTTGGCAGGGGATATTCTGCTAAACAAACCAAAGATACTCCTGGGCTAAAAAAGTGATCAAAAAGGATAGACAGCCGTGAACCCATGGCAAGGACAACATGGAAGCTATTACCTCATCCATATTCTGCAAGTTCAGGGGGCTCACAGTGTGGATAGTGATGTTTGAAGTACCGGGCATCAAGGAATATTCAACCAGCAACAAATCTCCTTTAAAAGGCAAAAATCCTAAAACAGTCAAGAAAATTAGAAATGCAAATATTACTGCATTCAGTTCATGTCACATTACCTAAGACGCTTCAGCACTACAATATGCTGACCAACTTTTCCTGAATGTAAAGTAACTTTGCCAAATACTTAGGTACCTTTTGTACAGGTGTGGTGGCTCACGCCTTTAATGCGAGCTCTCCAGGTACGGAGGCAGGTAGGTTTCTGCGAGTTCGAGGCTAGCCCGGTTTGCAGAGAAAGAGAGTTCCAGGACAGCCAAGACTTCATAGTGAAATGCTGTCTCAAAAGACAAAGACAAAAGAAAACCAAAACAAAATAAAAAAACCCATCACAGAGACCTTGGAAGTTTATAATCCTTTAAACACTGGTTCTTCTATCTTGATTGTACACAACAATCTTCAAGCTGAAAGTTTCCTCCCCAGGTTGCTTTTGGCCATGATGTCCATCACAGACAGCATGGAAACCCTAATTAGGACACTCTCCCTCTTCCAGGAGCTATCATTTATGAACATTTCCTTTTCTAGGAGTGAACTTGATGTCCACTTCCTCAGTTGGTGCTGGAATTTGGTCTGGGTTGAGCTTGAGTGAAGTTTCTTTTAAAAGGTGTTGAACAAGAAAGATAGGTATAGTCTATTGGTCTTGGGTGATACAATCTTGAGAAGGTGGGAGGTGCCCTTGCAACTGGAAATCAGTACAATGAAGGGGAAATAGGAAATGTTGTTTAAAACTTTCCTGATATCATTTACAATGTGGATGCAATCATTAATGACTATGATTTTTTAAATTTGTTTTTCAGGTAGGTTTTTTTTTCAGGGTGTTTTTAAAGCTCACTGGGTATCCAAGGTTTGTCTTTGAACTCAAGAAACCCTAGCCTCAGGCTTCTGAGTGCTGAGATCACAGACTTTCTGTTTGTTTTTTGAGACAAGTATTCAAAAAGTGATGGGACTAAAGGCATATACCACCATGTCTGCAAGGGTACATTTTCTCAATTGGTATTTTCTCTTCCCAAATAAATCTAGTCTGTGTCAAGCTGACATAACAATTTGTCAACACAGTGAGTCAGTGTTTTTAAGAGTGTTGCTACTGGTAGCTCAACCATACTCAAGTGGAAAGACACACATCCATGAATGTATATGCAACACAAATTGGACTTGATCAGTGAATATGAAGAGGACACAAAGTTGGGTGGATAGGGAAGAGGGGTGGATTTGTGGAAGGATATGGACATGGTCAAAGTTCATTGTAAAAAATTGTTAAAGAACGAAATAAAATGTAAACCATACCTCCAGAAAGAAGTTGCATTGGGAAAAAAGTTTCCTTGCTGATATAGATGCTGTCCGGTGTTGCATAAGTCACGCACTTAATGCAAAGTCTCTTGTCAAATTCTGATGGTTCAATGCCATATATAGGATCAGACATAGCTTTCACCTATAAGATAAGGAGTGGTTCCAGCTAAAATATCAACTACAGGCAAGACTTTGTATACATAAATAATTAACCTAGGATTTGTTGCATGTTAAGTATATCTTAATTGATATATGAAAGAGTATGATGCACACAGGGATTTTCATACTAATTCTACTAGTTTGGATGCATAGGATAGAAACTGGCTTTTGACTAAGAGATGAAAGTTGCAGGGTCAGATTGAGTTGCATAGAGAGAACATCATTCACTATGTTGTTCAAATACTGGGGGAACAGACACAAAAGCTTTAGGACCTGAAAAACATCACTGTAATTGAATATTAGAACATCAAATCTGCTAAACTTAAAGGAGAATGCCAACAGTGACCCTATATCCACAATGTTGCCTGTCTTGATCAAAGAGGTAATACCAAAATCCCATTACTATAAGAGAATCTTAGCAAACTCAGTCTTACTTTGATGGTTTTTAGTGCATGAGTTGTTTGATCTTCTTCCACGAGAGCAATGACACTCATCCCAACATTCACTGGAACATTTCCACACACCACTCCAGTATTGAAAAAGACAGTCTCATTAATCCAGCCATAATTGGTACAGAGATGGGTCACAATTCCCTGGAGAGACTTCAGCTTGGGGTTATCTATAACACAGGGAAATAAAGGTCACGTTGTCAAATGCAATGAGCCACACTACACAGAAATCCTAGTCTGGCCACCTGTGTAGATGTAAGCACATATCATCACTTCTATGACCTAATAACTATTTATGCACACTAAGGTTGTCACTATGCCTCCATGGCGTCTGTAGGTGACCTGTCCCAGTAACAGTGCTGCGCTCCTCATACCTGCTCAGGAAGCCTCTTTTAACCCCCATTGCTCCTAGCGTGTGCCTGCCTCGTCGTCAGTAGCAACGCATAGCCACGGTTCTACATTCTGACAGAGCATTCGACCAGATGTGCAGATAGACGTGAGGACATTTTGCAAGTGGTCTTTTATTCTCCATAAGCATAAAGGGTAAGCAATGTTTCAGGATCGGGCTCCAGGATCCTGCTGGGACAACCGGCCACCTTCCTCTATGGTGCCCTCCTTACGACTGACTCTGCCTCCTGGCTTCAGACACATGTGTGCGTGGGAAACAAGGCCAAATTCACTCTCAAAGTGAGACGGTCTCCTTCTCTGGGGAATACCAAAGGCATCTTGTAAGGGAAGGCAGAGACAGTACAGCCCACAAAGTCTTGTGTCACGTGTTCTTTGAGTTGACCCAAACACCCTTCTGCTTTGGTCCACCAAGGCAGCTTGAGGCACATTTCAGTGCTGGTCTAACTCTGGGGGACTCAGGGACACCCTCATGCTCAGGCTGGTGGCAGGCCCCTCCCCCGTTTGTTGCCTTGCGGTGTAGGATCCACTTTCTGAGGAGTCTCCTTCAGTGGGGATATGGGGACTGACTCCCAGAGCCAGAGGATTACCTCGATTCTTGAGAGGTCTTTCAGATTCAGCCCTCCTCCGAAAGAAAGTTAAAATCCGGTGCAGAATTCTCTGCATGATTACCACAGGCCTGGGAAACGCAGAGGCATTCTGATGAAGCTTGCGATCTCCTGACTCTCGGGTTCGCTCCCTCGGCCTCCCTGAGATGGTAGTGAAAGGCTAAGCAAGCAACCTGAGGAGAGCCTGGGACAGGGTGCCTTCTCAGTGGTTTCCAGGTTCCCGTTTGTGTCCTTTCCAGACAGGCCAGTGCATTTCACTGCCCAGCCAATGAGATGTAATGGTTTGTGTACGTCACTGCTATAGACAATGAGAGACAATGAGAAGAAAATTTTAGCCCCACCCACTGTCACACTAGTCAACCAATAGGAAACTCTCCGGACAATTCCTACGTTGACTGTTAGTACGGGTACTCAGAGGGTGTGACTACCTATTCAGCATTTCTGCTTTGCGCATTCTTTTTAGTTCTTTGGGTGACAGTTTGTTGATTTGAGATGGTTCCTTCTTACTATTTGAAGCATTTAGGGCTAGACATTCCTTGGATCACTTCTCAAATACTCTATTTTATCAATTGCCCTGATTTAGATCACCATGCAGGATCTTTCTTTCTCTTACGGAAAATTCTTTCAATATAAGACAGATGATTATTAGCCCTTTTTGATATTAATTTGGTTTCTGGTTTCTCTGATCATGGTGTCTGCATTTGGGTCTTAGCTGGTACTATCTCAATGAATGGAAGATAATTGTCCATTATAGTGTATCCCTCTTTATGAATGAAGGAAAATCAGACCCATGGGGATAAAGAGATTTCATGGGGCTGGTAATATGTTGTAATTGTTTTCTCTTTCAAGTTCTTTCTCATTTCCCCTGGTATCTCATGAAAAAAGAAGAAATTATAAAGATTATGTCATTAAAGAAGCTTTGTGGCCTGATGTGGTCAGAAGATTCCCTATTCAGAATGGGGAAAGCAATAAGCCTACCCACACAGACTTCTCCTGCTCTTGATATTTTGAAAGTGGAAAAACTGAGTCTGAATGACACTCTTCTGAAAAGTCCTGAACTAGGAAATGTGTAATTTTGTCTGAATACAGAATGTGCTGCATACTGTCTAGTTGCAGTTCAATGATCTTTTACTCAGTCCTTTTGATAGATGCTCATGTTCCTATCCATGATGATAAGAAGTCCTGGCCATGCCATCTCCCTATGACAAGAATCATTAAGATCAGGCCAGAGAGTTGCCTCAGAAGTTGGAGCTCTTGTTGATCTTGCTGAGAACCTTGGTTCCATTCTCAGCAACCACATGGTGACTCACAAGTGTCCGTAATATCCATATGACATCTGGTTCTGATCTCCACAGACACCGGCTGCCTGTGGTGCATAAGAATACAAGCAGGGAAAACACCCTCCCCACACACATGCACAAATTATTTTTTAAATGAGCAAATGATTGAACAGGAGTGTATCCAAAAAGACATACAAAGAGATAAACATGAGAAAATATGCTCCATAGTTCTATCTGTACAAGGCAGGTACAAACAAAAGCACGATAAGAAATGTTGATAATAATCAGTACTTAGCTGAGCATAGTAGCACAGGCCTGAAATCCCAGCACTTGGCTGGTGGAGGCAGGAGAATCAGGAGTTCAAAGCCCACTTCAGCTACATAGAAAGTTTAAAACCCTGTTTCAAAAGTACGGAAAAATAATGGGTTCTGAAGAGATGGCTCAGTTTTTAAGAGCACTTGCTGCACTTGCAGAGGACCTGGGTTCAGTTCCCAGCACCCAATGTGTTGCTCAAACCACCTGTGACGTTAGTTCCAGGGGGATCTGATGCATTCTTCTGACTTCCTCAGGCAACAGGCATGTATGTGATACACATACATTCATGCACCCAAAGCTTTCATACACATAAAATTAATAAAAATATGTTAAATAACAAGAAAATGTACCATATATCTGAAAAAGCTAGAAAAATTGGAAAATATTGTTCATGAAGAAATAGCAAACATTTAAGGAGAAAGATATGTTTAACCTATTTTAAACTTTATAAAATACACACATTATAAAATGTTGCATGGCATCCCACTAATATGTACAATTTTATGTATTGATGATTAAAGTGAATTTTTAAAAAGTCCCAATGCAATGTCACTTTATATTCAGTATAATGACGTAAATAAAACAATAAATAAATATTTATGGTATGGATGTAGAAAATTAAAACTACGAGCAACACTCCACCCCACGCCATGTGGCTGGAGCAGGTGGGACTCAACCAAATGCAGCATGGAATTTATAGTCCTGGCCTGTGAGAAGCCTCCAACAACACCTCCACACCAACCAGGAGCCAGGCAGTTGGGCAATATTATGATCCCTTTGTGATGGAGAAGCACGGTCCTGCCCAGTGCTAAGAAAAACTGAACAGGAAAAGGAGACTCACATGCAGGATCCAACCTGGGCCCACCTGTCGCACCTGCTTTGCAGCCTGCATCCGAGATTGTAGCAAGGTGGTCGGGATAGATGACACAGAGACCGGTCGGTTGCTTTAACAAAACTTTATGCTTCCCAAGTCAGCTTAGGAGGAGACCCCCAGTCCACTTAGGAGAGAAGAGAAGTCCCTCCAAGAAAAAATGCTTCCCTTTTTAAGGACTTCTGCCATCCATCTACATACAATTCTTTCCTGACTTCTCACCCTCCTGGCTGGTGGTTTAATCTCCGGCCCCAGAATCGGGGAGACACAGCAGGGGGGACAGGAAGAAGCATCTAGCCGTAGGGGGTGAAAAAGTCATGGTGTTTCAGTGAGGGAGCCCTTATCTGAGCCCTATCAAGAGCTTTATAGCACTGAATTGTTTTCAGTAAACATTATCTCACAGCTGCCTGCTCCCAGTCCGAAGGGGAAGTGGGTTTCTGCTCAAGGTCTGGTGTCCCCACACCCACCTGACACCTTGTGGTCCCAGGCAGTTGAGCACTATTGTGGTTAGCAAATATATGGTGTGGTATGGGAGAGAGAGAATGGATCATGTCCTGTGGAGAGAGACATCTGAAGAACTGAAAGCAGTGAAAAGTGTGCTGAGGTGAGTGGCTTCATTGCCACCCCAAACCATGGTGATGTCTAGGCCTTCGCTTATTTGGAGGGGTGTGTGTGCGCGCGCGCGTGTACGTGTGTGTGTGTGTGTGTGTGTGTGTGTGTGTGTGTGTGTGTGTGTGTATAAAACTTTCATGGAGTCTAGGCCAGAAAAATTGAAACTTTTTTTGAGTCAAGATCTCACTATGTAGCCCTGGCTGGCTGAACTGGAATTTGCTCCATACACCAGGCTGACCTTGAAATCAAAGAGATTCGCCTACCCTGTTTCCTGCAGGGGTTAAAAGCATGTACCAATATGCTGGGATGACTTTTTATAACAATTTTTAAAAACATTTTTATTAACTTATTTTATACATTCTAATCCCAGTTCCCCTTCCCTCCTCTCCTCCTGCTCCTCCCCATTGTTCCCTCCTCCTATATGCTCCTCAGAGAGGGTACAGCCTCCCCTAGGAAGTCTACTAAGTCTGTCCCATCATCTCACTGAGGCAGGACCAAGGCACCTCTCCACCCTGACATCCCTGTGTCTAGGTCTAGGCTGAACAAGCTGTCTCTCCATATAGAATGGGCTCCACTAAGTCAGTTTGTGCATTAGAGTTAGATCTTGAACCCACTGTCAGTGGCCTCATATATTGTCCCAGTCATACCACTGTCACCTCTATTAAGGGAGTCTAGCTCAATCTTATGCAGGTTCTCCATTTGTCAAACTAGAGTCACTGATGTCTCTGACTAGCTCTAGTCAGCTGATACTGTACATTTCCCCATCATGGTCTTGACTCTTTTGTTCATATTATCGCTCCTCCCTCACTTGGATTGTACTTCAGGAGGTTGGCCCAGTGGTTAGTAGTACATTTATGCATCTGCTTCCATCTGTTTCTGGAAGAGGGCACTAGCTTCTCTGGGGCTGTGGTTGTAGGCTGGGTATTTTTTGTTTTATGTCTGGTATTCACTTATGGGTAAGTACATATTATATTTGTCTTTCAGGGTCTGGGTTACCTCACTCAGGAGGGTTTTTTTCTAGTTCTGTGTATTGTTGCGCAGGTTTCTTTTCCTCACCTGCCAATTAGCCCCGAAGAAACACACAGATGCTATATTAATTATAAAATTGTTGGCCAGTGTCTAGGGCTTCTTATTGATTAGCTCTGTCTTAACTATTAACATATTTCTACAAATCTATGTATTTCCATGCGGTCTTGGCTTACCAGAAAACGCCCAGACCTGTTACTCCTTTGGCAGCTACATGGCGTCTCCTCGAGGAACCTCACTGCCTCTCACCCCAGCCTTCTCCTCATCTCCTAGCCCCACCTACCTTCCTGCCTCTATTGGACAAACTGTTTTATTCATCAATCAATAAGAGAAACATATATACAGAAGAACATCCCCTATAAGTCCATTTGCCTGCAAATTTTAAGATGTCATTGTTTCTTACCACTGAGTGGTACTCAATTGTGTAAATGTACCACATTTTCTTTATCCATCCTTCAGTTGAGGGGTATCTAGGTTGTTTCTAAGATCTGGCTTTTACAAATAATGTTACTATGAATGTAGTTGAGCAAATGTCCTTGTGGTGTGAATGTGTCTCCTTTGGGTATATGCCCAAAAGTAGTATTGCATGGCTTTGAGGTAGACTGATCCCTAATTTTCTGAGAAATTGCCATACTGATTTCCAGAGCAGCTGTGCAAGTTTGCACTCCCACCAGCAATGGAGGAGTGTTCCTCTTTCTCCATATTCTTTCCAGTATAAGCTGTTATCAGTGTTTTTGTTCTTAGCTATTCTGATAGGTTTAAGACAGACTCTGAATTGTGTTGATTTGCATTTCCCTGATGACTAAGGATGTTGAGCATTTCCTTAAGTGTCTATCAGCCATTTGAGACTGTTCTGTTGAGAATTTTCTGTTTAGATCTGTACTCTCATTTTAAATTGATTATTTGATATATTGATGTCTGGTTTTTTTCAGTTCTTAGTATACTTTAGAGATTAGCCCTCTGTCAGATGTGGGGTTGGTGAACATCTTTCTCCAGTTCTGTAGGAAGCCATTTTGTCTTGTTGATCATGTATTTTGCATTACAGAAAGCTTCTCAATTTCATAAGGTTCCATTTATTAATTGTCAATCTCAGTGTCTGTGCTACTGGTGTTATGTTCACGAAGTAGTCTT